CGCCGACGGGCGACGGCGAGGACACGGGGCAAGGGCGCCGCATGCGACGAGCACGGTGACAGGAGTAGAAGGTGGAGGTACAGCAGGGCAGGGAGCAGGAGGACGAGAGGACAAGGAGAAGGCCATGTAGGGCATGTGCCAGACGTGGGCAGTGCTCCGCCCCGCCAGTGTCGCAATCGTCAGCAGCTGGCACCGTGTGTGCCTTCAGCTGGACGGGAGAGAGTTGCAGCAGGGGGATGGAGGAGGGAAGGGGAGACGGCCGGAGGAGAAGAGGAGTTTCTGTGGGGAGGGGGGCGGGGTCAGCCGGTCCCGATGTGCTCTGGTGAGTTCCCAACGGGGGCGGTCTAGGATGTGCTGGGAATAGGGAAAAGGGGGTCAGGCGGGGGAGGGGAAAGAGGGGGCAGGGGAGGGGGTGTGAAGAAGGCTGGGGCGCGGATGATGATGATGATGATGATGATGATGATGATGATGATGATGATGATGATGATGATGATGATGATGATGATGATGATGATGATGATGACGATGACGATGACGATGACGATGACGATGACGATGACGATGACGATGACGATGACGATGACGATGATGGTGATGGTGATGAGGATGATGAGGATGATGAGGATGATGAGGATGATGAGGATGATGAGGATGATGAGGATCATGAGGATGATGACGATGATGATGATGATGATGGTGATGGTGATGATGATGATGATGATATGAGGATGATGATGATGCTGATGCTGATTATGATGCTGGTGATGATGATTATCATGATGATCACGATGATGGTATTATGATGATGATGATGATGATGATGATGATGATGATGATGATGATGATGATGATGGTGATGGTGATGGTGATGGTGATGGTGATGGTGATGGTGATGGTGATGGTGATGGTGATGATAATGATGAGGAGGAGAGGGAGGAGGATGAGGAGGAGGAGGAGGTGGAGAGGGGCAGGAGGAGAAATTGGAGGGAGAAGGGACGAGTGCCTCACAGTGAGGATGGAAGAGGGATGAGGAAGGAGAGAGGAGAGTGAGGATGGAGGAAGCAGGTGGTCGGAGGGATGAGGGCAGACGAAAAAAGGCGCCAGGAGAAGGCACAGGCCGTCTGTCATTTGACATCGCACTATTGAGGAGGAAGATGAGCAGGGGGAGTGCGAGGAGGAGGAGGGTAGGGAAGAGGATGGGAGAGGATGGAGAGTAGGTATGAAGAGGTAGTAGGAAGGAAGACAGAGGACGGCGCAGATGAGTAGAGAGGGAGGGAGGAAGGAGGGGTTGCATTGTGGTGGTGATGATGCGGTTGCTGCTCATGACGATGGCGGCGATGGTGATGTTGACGAGCAGAGTCTTCATGATGAAGTCATGTTGGTGATGATGATGGTGGTGATGGTGATGATAGTGATGGTGGTGATGGTGGTGGTGATGATTATGATGCTGACGACGGGTGTAGTGATCTCGATGGTGATGGTGAACATGTCGATGATTTTGATGATGATAGTAGCTATGATGATGATGATGATGATGATGACGAGGATGATGGAATGATGATGGTGATGATGATCGCGGTGGTGATGTTGACGATGGTGATGATGATGGTGATGGTGGTGATGATGATGATGACGATGCTGATGTTGATGCTGATAATGCTTATGAATTCATGAAATGGTTAAACAATGAAGAACCCATGATGAGGTGATGGTGGTGATGATGATGATTGTGATGCCGCTGACGGTAATAGTGATGTTGGCGATGATGATGATGATGATGATGATGATGATGATGATGATGATGATGATGCTGATGCTGATGCTGATGATGATGATGATGATGATGGCGATGATGGCGATGATGTTGATGTTCATCGTGGTTATGGTGATGGTGCTGATGTCGATGATCATGGTGGTCATGATGATGGTGATGATGATGGTGATTATGATGACAATGACGATGACGATGACGATGATAATGATGATGATGATGATGATGATGATGATGATGATGATGATGATGATGATGATGATGATGATGATGATGATGATGACCGGCGGTGGTGATAATCATGATGATGACAATGATGATGGCAATGATGATGGCATGGCAATGGTGGTGGTGATGATGGTGATGGTGGTGGTGATGGTGGTGGTGATGGTAATAGGTCGGGGGACGTATCTTCTTGGCCGAGGGTCGCCGTGGTCAGCAAAGCCCCCTCGTTCCTCCTTCTGCGACGACTGTACCATTTTCCTCCCTTCATAGCCCCCATCCCCTATCGGGGCGGCCTCCTTTCCCCGAGAGGCGGTGGGCCTCTCTTCGAAGGGCACCGGCCTCAAGGGGGACAAGATCAGCACGGAGAAGCAGCCGGTCGGCAAGGGCGGGGCGAACCGCTACAAGAGCCGCGGCGGACCCTGCCCCTCCAAGGGGCGCCAGGCCGACAAGAGACGGCCAACCAGATACTCCAGAGGCAGCAGCAGCAGCAGCAGACCCGGGCAGGATCGATCTCGATCCAGTCGTTCCGATTCGAGATCGATATATCGCGGGGCTCGATCCGATCCGACGTCGAGTGTCCAGCGATCCGGTGCGGCCCGATGCCTGCATGGCGCTGGTGTGCATCCTGGCGCGGCCAGTTCGATGCGATTCCGATTCGGTGGCGATGTGGTTCAAGCCGATGCACGCCTCCCGTCTGCCCCCCTCCTCTTCCCCCTCTTCCCCCTCCTCGTCCTCCTGCTCCTCCTCCTTCTCCTCCTCCTCCTCCTCATCATCATCATCTTCATTCGCGAAACGAACACGCAACACACGGCCAGGCACATATTCGGAGGAAGAGGCAGACACACCAAGAGGGAGAGACGGGGAAGACCGGCCAGCATTTTGCACGCCTGGCACGACCGTGGCTACCCCACGACGAATGGGGCAAGCTCGCTCCCCTCCACAGAAGCTCGAGAACACGAGAGCTCGAGGGAGGGCCTTCTGAAGAAAAATATGAAGTTGGAGGGCCTCTTGATGGACTTCCGGGAAAGCCGTGACCGAGGAGCCTAGACGGACGCCTGGAGTATCCCAGCTTGGTCTCGGCATATGCACCCTCATATTGCAGCAGAGCTCGGCAATTCCATGAATTAAATCGCAGTCCCTCGACTGACTCACGATCTTGGAGGAAGGGGAGAGTGGAGGTCGCAAAAATCATTCGAAAACGGCTAAAGACACCACTGCAGCTCAGCCGCAGGCTCAGTGGTGGGCGAGATCGCGCCGACGAGGTCGGTCTTCGAGAAGCCGTACTTGTTGATTGCCGTCTGGTTCCATTTGACAACCGTCGCTTGGCGGCCTTCCAGTGGGTCCAGTTTGAGCAGCGGGTCCCAGCCAACAGACAGCCAGCCCTTCTCACGGTCGAAGAACAGGCGATGCTAGTCACCGACCTTCTCGAACAAGAGTTGACAGACCTTGCGGCCCAATATTTCTGTCTTGATCTGCCTTGGGTTCTTGTCGGCGCCGATGCGTAGTTGGCCAGCCCTTCTCTCCACGAAGAAGAAGCGAGAGCGCTTTGGCAGCACGACGCGACGCAAGGCCCATACCGCCGTTGACCTTGACTTTGATCGTGAAGAAGCGAAAGAGGGGATCGCAGGATGCGATGCTCCACCACTCGTCGGTGAAACCAGCCTCCACAAGCCAGGGGGGGGCCGCCTCGACCACCACCGATTTCGCCGCCAACTTCCCCGCGCTGACCTTGATGATTGTGGTTTCGAAGTCCCTCTCGAAGCCCGAATCGAGCCTGATGGGGGCCATCGGTTTCTTGTCAGCCATCGCAAGAGACTCCTGCAGCAGCTTGATTGGGTCGACCATCTCGAGGAGCTTGCGGTCGTGCTCGTCGACGTTGGACTTGTGCTCGTCCACAGCCGCCTGCATGTCATCGCACCTCCGGTGGAACTCCCTGCGCAGCTCGCCGGACTTGGGGTTGACCACGTCGAGGATGGTCTGGTCCAGCTCCTTGGGTGGAGCGTCACTTGCGCATACAGTCGGCGAAGTGCTTCGTGAAGCTACAGTCGGGGCCCTGAAGAAGGAACCCTTTTGGTTGGGGAGGGGCTCCGCGTTCCTTAAGTGTTTCACAGCTTGCCTCAGGTTTTCCTGATGTTTTCGATCGGAAACCGAAGTTTAACTTATGGAAAAAAGGTGCCTCGCTCCTTATTTAGGGTTCCTTGGGTCAACGCCCCGACTGCATGCTCGATCGGCGCCGTTGCCCTGGAGGCAGCAGAGGCAGCCGCGCTGGCGAGCCGGGGCTGGCTGGCGCCCGGCTGCTCGGCGGGGCAGCGCGCGCTTTCCGAGGGGATATGCCCCTTGGTGAACTCCTCCTCGTCCTCCTCCTCCTCCTCCTCCTCCTCGTCCTTCTCCTCCTCCTCCTTCTCCTCCTCCTCCTCCTCCTCCTCCTCCTCCTCCTCCTCCCCCCCCTCCTCCCCCTCCTCCCCCTCCTCCCCCTCCTCGGACATGGCACCAGGGACCGCGAATCCTCCATCATCGTCACTCGCATCAGGCGGGCGAGCACCAGCACCAGCGGCAGGAGCACGTTTGCGGCCAAGGCCCTCGGCGCCCCTGCCCGTCTTGCAGCCTCCACTCGCGGAAGAAGCCGAGCGCTCGGCAGGGGGCGAGCCACTGGGGCTCGGCATGCGGGTAGAAGTCTCCTACAAAGCGATTGAGAGGTGGCGCCCAAGCCCACCAGTGAAGGCGACGAAAAGGAGTGCTAGTCTCAAGAGACTTGCCAGCCGCGGACTAGCGGCATCCACGCGGTCCGAGAGAGATACTGCAGTCTTGAGCCAAAATGGCTTCATTCATTGGAATGCCCATGACCATGAACTGACTCGTGAACAAATTCGGGACGCGTGCGGTGTTATATCCCAGGATAGATCCAGGCCCGAGGCCTCCCCCGAATCCTGTCTTGCGACTGTGCACGGCGGTTTAAACTTTGCCGAAGAGGAAGAACTGACGCTCGCGCAGCCATCTGTTTCTCAGCGGGTTGTCCGACCGCTGCACGCCCACGCGTCTCAGTGGGCACCTACACTCGATCCCCTTGTTGAGATTACATGTTCGGCGGCCGCGCTCTACGATGCTCGCGCTGATGCGGTCGCTGCGATAGATAGGCGATGGCGCTCGCGGCCTGGACGGGCCCTCACGCAGCTCGCGACGATGGCCAGGGTTGAGGGGGATCCAGTGGAGGCCTCTCGGACGCGCGCGAATGGTCGCGCTGCTCACGTGGTCGTCTTCCGCAAGCGTCGCCTTCCTGATGTCGGTGGCCACCCGATCCCGAAGCACATATGCAAGTCAAAGGAGTTCAAAATGATTACCGGGCGTTTCTTGGAAGCTGAGAAGGGGGAGATGATGAAAATGCGCCCCCTTAGGAGGTTAAAGCGCTACAAATACCTGCTGGTGGAAGCCAGTCGGGAGACTAGAGGCTCGATTCTTCTCCGAAGGCCAGATGACTCACGCACCCTGCTCCTGGTGGCCAGAGCCATCTCTCGTGCAGTGTGGCGTCAAGATGCACAGGCCGCTTCTCGCCTACGTGAGCCCCACCCTGCCGATGCTGACTCTCTCGGCGAATGGGCCGAAGGTGGAGCGTGCGCGCGCGGCACCCTTGCAGCAGAGGCGCAGTGCGCAGCAGCTCAAAGCCTTCGATCACGACAAGGCCGAGATACGCGCTAGAATAGGCGCTCAGGTCGGAGGGCACCAACTATACACCAACACCGATCCTGGCCCAGGATCACCCTGGGCCCAGGATCGGTGTGTATGCCTTCTTGCCCAAGGCAGGAGGGCGTATACACCGATCCTGGGCCCAGGGTGATCCTGGCCAGGATCGGTGTTGGTGTATAGTTGGTGCCTTCCTATCAGGGAGGTGGAAGGGGATGGAGGAAGCAATCATCCTAATCGTATCCGTGCTCTTGGAACATCGAGCTCGGACGTGGGCCCCGTTCGCTCGTCGGCTGCTTCTCCGAAAAACGTCTTGGCGGATGGTTCGCTCGCTTCTGGGCCCGATGGGGAAATGCAAAGAACCACGTCGACACTCGGTGGGAGGCATTCGCGAGGAAGGAGTGGAATGGGGAGGCCGCTGACTCTCACGCCTTGGCGGATGGGTCGCTCGCTTCTGGGCCCGATGGGAAATGCAAAGAGCCACGTCGACACTCGGTGGGAGGCATTCGCGAGGACGGAGTGGAATGGGGAGGCCGCTGACGCTCCTGCTTCGAGATTTGCCGCGCCAGCTGACGTCGCCAACTGTCCGCCGCCGCCTCGCAATACCTTCGAGAAGATTATTCGGCGCGAGGCAGATTCTGCACCTGGATGTGACGGACTCTGCCATGCTGCATGGTCTGCCAATCCCTCCGGAGCGGAGCTCCTCAACGATGCGGTGCCGGGCGCGCTCCGAGGCATTGCGCCGCTCGCCAGCGAGAGCCTCACATTGCAAGCTTTCTTTCAGGAGGACAAGGAACACACAGACACAATTAATCCTCGATCCCCCAGAAAATATGGGAAAATATGGGAAGTGGGGGGGGAGACAGAAACCCAGAAAATATGGGAAAATATAGGGAATAATTTTATTTGTGTGTATTTATTTGTGCGTCCTGGGGCCCCTTCATTCTTGCCGAAAGAGGGGCAGGAGGGGGATTGCACCGACTGGGGATTGCGATGGGGACGCCAATTCGGTCAGGGCCCTGGGCCGGCGCAAACGCGAGTTTCAAGGCGATCACCGCGCCAGTGAACAGATCGATTTTGAGAAAATATTTGGCTGAATTTGTTCCGTTGTCTCAACGGGGGTTTATGCGAGGCCGTAGCTTTGCTATGCATATTATAGAGCTGGACGCAGTGTCCAGAGCCTACTTAAGCCGGCCTGGAACCGACCACGACTGTCCTATGTTTTGGCTCTTGACTATGGTGCTGCCTTTCCTAGTCTGTCTCAGCAATACCTCTCATGCTGGTGCTGCGTAGAATGGGCTGCCCATGTGCATTGCTGTCCTTTGTCGAGCTGCTGCACTCGTCCATCGAGGGGGGTGCCTCAAGCAGGGGCCCCCTTCTCCACGCCTTATGGATCCGATCGGGGGCGTTTTGAAGCAGTTGACGACCTCGAGGACCCTGGCCCGCATCATGAAATCAAACGAATTTGTTGCGCACCTTCGGCTAAAACCTACTAAGTGCTTTCTGGTGCCGGTTGCTGCGAGGCTCTCGGAAGATACCAGGAAGAGAGTTCATGATTGTTTTCGCCTATGTGTTCCGCAGTGGAAGGGCTTTAAGGTGGATGGGAAGTTGTTCGATTTGGGAATGCGGGTGGGGCCTGAAGCTACGGCAGTGGATTCCTGGTCGGCCCCTTGTGCTAAATACCAAGCACGTTCGAGGGCGATAGGACGTGGCGCCTAAGCCACCTCGCTGTCGTGCATGGTGCATCAATCTAGAAGCCTGCCCGTACTCAGTTATGTCATGCAGTATTTGCCGCCGCCCAAGCACGTGATTGACACTGAACTTGG